TGACTTAATTTAATGTTAAATTGAACTAAGACTTAACCATATTTCATCTAATATTTAAATTACTATCAGAGAACTGTCACATAATATCTGTGACATATATGGTATAATTTTGCAATAACCTGTCTTATCAATAGATAAAACAAATGTTATTGAGAATAATTTATTACTTTTTAACACTATGAACTAATATCATATATACATTATACTTTATACTCAGCTGTACTTAGTTTTTTACTAAATCGTAAAATCATTTTTATTATCTGTTTTATATCAACTAAGTGCTCTCTTAATTGCACTTTATGATATCACTTTTAATAAAGTAGTTAATGATTGCAATGTTTCCATTAAATATATTTTATTCTTTTTTATTTTATGTATCTTAATTGAACATTTAAGTGTAACAATAAAAATAAAGTATTTGCAAATTACTTAACGATTCCTCATAAACAATTTGCATAATTTCATACTTTAGTATGCAAATTAAAAGTAATAATCGTATAATTTAGAGTATAAGATCTTATGAAGATTATGTTTTTCTATTAATAAAGAAAATTATTATTTTCTTTTTAAACATCTTATTCAATAAAAACTATATATGAGATAATTTAAATAAACATAAGCGAGAATCTTGCTATTAAATATGTATCTGATAACCTTTGTTTAACCTTCGGTTATAGATATTCATATGAATTCATATAAGATATGATATGATCATTCATATCATTTTAAAGACAATCATAATATTTGCTTTTTTTAACAAGTCATAGATTAGATTTAAGATCAAATCAGAAATCGTTTTGAATAACTCAGACCCTAATGATTCTTTAACTATTTTATGAATAAAAAAAATTTAAGGACTTAACAAAGCTCTGCATTTTTTTAATATTAGCGCCGGCTACCTCTGTGAGAAAACTACAGATATGTTTGCCCCCAAAAAGTTCGCCATGCTACTAACCAAAGCTGTGAAGAGAGCAAGTCTCAATTTTAAGCATTACTTTTTCCTGATCTCCCTTAGCTTTGATTTATAATTTATAAACAATTGGGGTCTTGAGCCCACTGTATTATGGAAATACAAGTATCGAATAATATAACAGTAAATGCAGCTCAACTAAATGTAAAGTAATTATAGTCGTCACTTTCTTTCTGTAAATATTGATGAATCTGAGAATGTATAAACGAAGTGTTTAGATTCAACTGTTGTAGCATTAATGGAAAGACTACAAGTTCATTGTATATATAACCTGGAAAGAGGGTTGATGGGCTAAACCTCTTTTTAAATTGAACCAGTACAGCTGTTGCTGATGTACATAGTACATAGAGATATTGAAATTTTGCATTTGTCGTAAGACAATAAATATAACGTCCTTCAAGTTACTAACTATTTCTCCATAAAATATTATTTTTTACTTCCTCATTCAGATAAAATTAGACTGCTAAACATGAATGTTATTCTTTCTTGGCTCTTTATTTATGGAATAAGATTCATTATATATAAAATAAGTCTATTTTCAATACATTTCTTTCAAACTGGTTTCATTGGATATAAGATTCATACTGTTGCTTTCAATGCTTACTACTTACTATCCATAGAAATAAAATCGAGTAAGACATATAGTCCATAAAAAAGGAGATTAACATAAGTTGTTTGATATTTGATAGTAAAATAAGTTAACTTATTAAAATAATGTAAATGAGAATGTAATAAAATTGGTATAAATTGCAATAAAATTTATTATCAAATTATTAAATAATTTAAAAATAGGTTAGTGTGCTGTAGTTGGGACAATACCCTTTCCCAAACCAATCGATAAAATAAATAAACTTAATTAATCTAATTTATTTCATAATGGAAGAATTCATTGTCTTTCATTTAATTGCAAAATATATCAAAGTAGAAGATTGCAAAATATATTCGTTAGAGTTACTACATTACAATAAATTTTTTATATTAAATTTTTATATTTTTATAATAAAATAATAATAATAATAAAATAATAATAATAATAAAATAATAATAAAGTAATCATAATAAAATAATAATAAAGTAATCATAATAAAATAATAATACATAATAATATTGCATATTTGTAAAAAATTGTTCATACAATTTTTATTCAGATATCATCTATTTTATCATTTTTATAATTTTCATTGGTAAATATATATAAGATAATAATAATAATATAATAATAATAAAATAATTATATTATAAAATAATAATGATAATTAAATAATAATAATAAAATAATAATAAATAATCATAATAAAATAATGATAATAAAATAATAATAAGGAGATATTAATAATAAAATAATAATACATAATAATATTGCATATTTGTAAAAAAATGTTCATACAATTTTTATTCAGATATCATAGACTTAATCATTTTTATCATTTTTGTGGTATTTTTATTTTATAACATAATTAGCTTATATCTTATATATATAATTCTTCTGTACGTGTGTTGACAGTGAACTTCTCCTAAACGGCTGAACCGATTTTGATGAAATTTTTTGTGTGTGTTCAAGTGGATTCAAGGAAGGTTTAGATTCACAATTTGGCCCACTGGATAATGTCTTTTTAATTAATTTTTTATTTTTTGGTATCCATATACATTTATATTAGAAATTTAAAATTTATCCATGCTTACTTTGATTTGTTTAAAAAGTTTAAAATATCTAAAATGAATCTTAAAATTGCATAGCTTTAGTGCATTTAAATTCCGCAGTATAATTATAGGTATAATTGTGAATCTAAACCATCCTTGAATTCACTTGAACACACACAAAAAGGAAGAATTATAAAATAACATACAATAACGTATATATAAAGGTATAAATAACGTACAAAAAAAACAATATGAATATGAGTCGGATATCGACTATTCGTCACATTTACGAATTGTAATCGGTGCTATAAACAATCAGTGCCAACACTGTCATGCACTCAAATACAAAGGTGAATCGGCCGGTTTCTGCTGCGCATCTGGAAAAGTTGTATTGCCACCATTGAATTCGCCGCTAGAACCATTGAAAGCACTATTGGCTGAAGCTACATCTCAATCTAAATTGTTTTTTTCGTAAAATTCGCAAATTCATAAAATTCATCATTTGGAACAACAAAAATCGTTCAGAATGAGATTGGTCGCAATTTTCAATCAACGCTTAAGATTCAGGGCCAAGTGTATCACCAAATTGGTTCTTTAATGCTGATGCCCAATAATGATCCCAAATTTCTGCAAATCTACTTCATGGGTGATGATAAGCAGCAAATAAACGCACGTTGCCAGTACAACCATATCGAGCAGATGGAGGAGCAAGAAATTGTGGGTATTTTAGAACCGTTTTTAAAAAATCATTACCAGTTGGTCCAGTTGTTCACTACCGTTTCAAACAGACTGCTAAACGACAACTATACAATCGTCATCAAAGTACCATCTGGGCAGCACGCGAGCCGATATAATGCACCGATTATTAATGAAGTTGCAGTTGTTATGGTTGGCGACGCATTTGAACGTCGAGATATACGAATACAATGCAGAGATAACACAGTGCATACGATTGCAGACAGTCATCGCTCTTACGACGCTTTGCAATATCCATTGATATTTTCTTTTATTTAAAATGTAGTGCTTATAAGGATTTGAAGTAACATGAAAATATTTGTAACATAAGTAATGCATGTGGACTTTTTGTAGTTCAAAAGAAAAAATCAATTTAAAATAATTTTCGCATTAAAATGCTAAAGGTTAAGTTGAATAACAACAAATATTATAACTCAGCTGAGCCAGGAAAATTAATTGCAAGGGGAAACAACGTTCGCCGGGTCAGCTAGTAAATATATATATTAGTTCTCATAGATTCTATGAAGAGCAAAGGGCCACAGTTTTAATAAATAAATCATGCTAAAATTTTTGTAATTATATTATCAAAAAATTATTTTTATTATTATATTCTCTTTTTTTACGAAAAATTTTTTATAATTAATTTATATATGGGTTAATTGTTCAATTAATAAAAATAATGTAAATAATTAATACATAAATCATTTATAAGAACTCATATTATTATATATCATAAAATTTGATTCATATAGGTAAATGTATATATGAGCTAATTGATTTCTTCTTTTTCATTCTTTTTATTGTATTCATATTTTATAACATGATTTGTTTTTTAAATAATTTAAAATAGAATTATAGTAATTATATCATTAAGAAATTATTTTCTTTTGTTATTTTTTTCGTCAAAATTTTATTAAAATTAACTTATATAGACTAATTAGTCAATTTAAAGATAAGGAAGTAGCTTTTTTTAATTAAAAATTGGGGTTATAATTAATTTATATATGAGCTTAGTATTAAATTGACTAATAAGATCTTCATTATATAAATATTTTGTAAAAATTTAATCTTCTAATCTACTAATTATCAATATAGTGCAAAATTTTAACACATATTAGTATATTGTTAATATTACTATATATTTTAAATGTTAAAATAATTCATTCTATATATGATATTAAATATTAAATATTAAGTGAATTATATGATTATAAATATTATAATTATAATTATATTATTATATTATAAATATTAAATATATTATATATCTATTTGCAACCGATATAAACTAATATATATAACAGGGTTATTTTTTTATCTTCTGCACTTCAAGATGACTTCAATGAATATTTTGCAATTAAAAAAAACTAATAGTTTTTTATTTATTTTAAATACGTAAAATAAAAATATACTCATTCATATCATATTTTTAATTATAATGTAATTAATTGCATTTCACAACTAATCTAATTGCTTTCAACCGATTTAATCGCTATTTCACACAAATAAAATTTATTTCTCACGATTTCGAGTTAATCAAGAAATAAATCCGAATTAAGAAATTATGAGCAAGTTTTTCATTTAATTCAAAATGAAATAAAAAAGTTCAATTTCAAATAAAATAATATTAATTTTTTAATTTATTTCGACTCACCACAAGTGTCACTGTCGCTGTCGTCAATGGTGCTAGCCTGATCGCCGCTAATACTGCTACCGCCCGTCGTGTTGAGTGCATTGCCGCTGAGATCGCGTATGCCGCCACTGCCACCGATTGGATGCGGTGAACGTGAACGTTCGTCATGATCGAGCCCTGCACTCGAAACTGAGGTATCCAAATCACGTAGGCGCTCCTGTTGTAAGGCAGCATAATGTGCAGCCGCTTGCGCAGCATGTAATCCATTGGCAGCAGCGCCTGGCGGAAAACCAAGTAAAGCCGTTGGTGGCAAATGCGTAAGCGGATGTTGTGCTGATTGATGCTGTGCTTGTTGCTGTTGCTGTTGATGCGTTTGATGCTGTTGTTGATGTTGTTGATGTTGATGATGATGATGCATTGATATTGCCGTTGGTGAACCTTGAAAATGTTGTTGTTGTTGTTGTTGCTGCTGCTGCTGTTGTTGTTGTTGATGATGTTGTTGCAACAAATGCTGTTGTTGTGCTATATAATGTTGCAATGCTACATGATGTTGATGTTGATGCTGATGTTGGTGTTGTTGATGCTGATGTTGTGCGGTGTGTTGTGGATGTGTGGCATTGTGATTTGCTGTTGGACTGCGTGCACCATTTTGTAAAACTGCAGCTGCTGCCGCAGCGCTACCTGCCAAAATATCGGTGATCATAAAACGCGAACGTGAAGATTGCAGTGATGACAGAGAATCACGTTGCATAGCATTTGGTGTGGCTAAAGCTACTGTGGGGGAGGCAGCAGTGGACATCTCTGGTGGCATCGTTGTCATTGGTAGCGGTTTTAAGCTTTTAATATAATAATTTGTCTTTAAAAATTATTTGATATTTTTTTTAAACTTTTCAAAAGTATTTTTTACTCTTATTACTCTTATTTATTTTATCAAACACTTTACACTTTGCACTTAATTATCAATTAAAATTCTTGATTTTTAGTATTTAATTTTAACACATTTTTCTTTATTTTTTTAATTTTGTTTGCTTTATTTTAACTATTTCAGTTTTGTGAATTTCTTTTTTTGCCGTCGCTAATATTTTTTTAAACAAATTTCTTTTTCGTATTCGTGTGAGAATTCGCACGCAGCTCTACAAAATTCCAACCATTCAACTCTACTTTTCAACCGATACTAAATCCTACGCTCTTCTTTCAATGCTATTCAATCCATTTTACTCAGCATGGTGCCAAATACACAACAAGAAACCAGTAATTTTTTTTGTTTTTGTTTTTGTTTTTGTGTGTTTCTTACCACTATACTATACTACTTGTCGCTCACCTGTCGTCTCATTTGCGCTTTGGCTTTGTACTCCCAGCACATCTTTTATCTTTTTTACACTTTTCTATTATGAAGCGGTGTGTGCTCACAGTGGTGGATTTATTTACATGCCAATGTATTTGCTTGTTGGTTGCATTTATTGGTCATAATTGTTTTCAATTGACATTCATTATTTTTCAATAAAAACAACATTCAACGCAACAACTACAACTACAACAACAACAATAACAACACTGACAACTTATATGAGTTAAAGTTGGTTGAAGTCATTTTTTTATGTTGAAAACCGTTTTATTATTGTTGTTTGTCGTATGTTGTCTGTTGTTTGTTGTTTGCTTGAGTTGTTTTTGTTATTTATGCTTGTACTGTTCCAATTTTGGCAAAACGAAGGAAGAATGGTCAAATTTTTTATGATTGTTTCACAAGACAATGGCTGTTTGTTTAGTTGTTAATTTTTGGAGTATGTTGAGAAAGGGGAGAAACTTTATTGTGGTGAATTATGACAATAGTATTTTCATTTTTGAGGAATTTTGATATTTTATGGAATACGGAGTATATGGTGGATAAAAAAGTTACATTTGCAAAAATGACCTCAATATCTTTAAGAAATCATTTATGAAATTGCAACTACTTTAGTGATATTTTTAAAATATAATTTTAAAAAATTCGAAAAATATCAATAAAAAAATAAGAAATACATAAGCAAATCCAATATTGTTTATTGCCAGTAATATAACTTTAGCAGTAAATATGTAAAAAGATAATTAATAAAATGTTAAAGACGTTTGAGCTTCGTACTCGGTTGGCTTCTTCATGAAATACCGTAACGCTGATCCCAAAAGAGCCAACCGTAGGAAATCATGGTGATTTTAGTGGGACAAAAACAAAAAAAAAAATTATTATAAGGGAATAATAATCGGGTGGCACTGCCCCCTTACTGCTGTAAACGTCTTTCTAAAAGTACTTGTAATTTTTCTTTCAGATCGTTAACAGAGATACCCACATCCACTTTCTGCCGTTCACTAGTTACAGATGGAAGTCGCTCACAACATCTAAAACTTACTGGTAAACTTGACTATACAGTATAAAGACCAGATTCAGGAAAGTTGTCAACATAGACAGAGTCCATTCCGCCAGAGCAATTCGCCAGGGTTTTTTCAGGTGACTTGGATATATCGCTGATTCGATAAGGGCTAACCATTGGAAATCGACGGTGATTTTTGTGGGTCACAAAGCAACAAAAAAATAATAATAAAATGTATGAATTAATTTTATTATCAGTCGTACTATCTAGTTTGACTTAGGCATTCCAATGCTTTATAACATGTTTAAGACAAAAAGAAAAAAATTAAAAAAATAAAAAGAAAATAAAAAAATAGGAAAATTATAAAATTAAATAAATTATAAAAATAATTATTAGAAGAAGAAACAGTGGTACTTCGTAAACTCTAAAATCAATCTTTCAGATCTTTCTGTTCCTAAAGAAAATATCTTAAACTAATTTGTATGTCGCTATTGATATACTTAATAATATCTTTATATGTAATATTCTAAGCCCCCATACGTTATGTTGTTTGATAAAATGTTAATAAAGATACGAGATCTGTGTTTTGATAAACGCAGAATATAAACCGAAGGGATGGACAGAAGTTTCATTTCTCAGACTCTAAAGGTGTCTGTACAGATTTCATCTACGTATACAACTTATTGTGACCAGTTCAGAAATTAATGATTAATCTAAATTCAAATCCATTAAGACTGTAAAGCTCATTATCATTTTTATATACTAAAGCAATTTAGCAAGCAGAAGTCGTGATCCAATATTTTTTTAAGATTATCAACTATTTTATAACTCAAGAATACATTTTATGTAGTCAAAGGGATTCCTTTCTTCAAACTAGCCAAATTAGACATGAGTTCTCTGTATCAAATTGTATTTTATGCTCAAAAATTGGAGATGTAATTATATTAACTAATAAAATAAATTATTAACTTCATTACAGTTATATTCAAAAGAACTAAATAGATTAAAATAAATTTACTGAACCTCGTAAATACAAAGATTTAATTTACAAATGAATAAAAGCTCGAGAACGTAATGACAGCATTGATGTCTGTAAACCCAGATATATTTTATTTACTCCAATGCAAAATTTTATGCTATATATCATTCATAACTCACAGCATCTAAAGCATTCCAGTCGACCTGGTCTTCAACTTATTAACAGAAACAAATTGCAAACCACCAGGCTAATGGTAGTCTTTCAAACGACTAGCATATAAGACTCTACGCAAAGAAACTACACCTTCCATTCAACAGAAGAAATTGCGGAAACTTCAATAAAGTTTACACAATGACACACTCTTAATGATTGCGTACATTAGAAACACATTTTTAAAAAAGTAAAACATGCCAGACGATCGGACCTTCAAGTGATAAGACCAAATTCATATAACTTATTATAAGTGACCGAGTTCATACAGCTAAGCTTATTTGCGGAAACTTGGATGAAAAAAAGATAATCACACACTTTTTCTGGGTTTGCTAGCCTCTACCTAACAAACGGAACAGATTTCTAAAAAGAGTACTTTCAGTTCAGTTATATTCAGTTCAGACTTTTTATAAAATAAACATTTTTTTATATATTAAAATTATCTGCTGGAACCCTCTGGTAGCAGACTTATTGGAAGATATCTATCGAACTACCATACTATATGCAGCATAAGATCGTGTTGCTGCCTCTATTAGTTCAGTTATATTCAGTTCAGACTTTTTATAAAATAAACATTTTTTTATATATTAAAATTATCTGATGGAACCCTCTGGTAACAGGCTCACTGGAAAATATCTAACAAACTATCATATTATATGCAGCATAAGATCGTTTAATTTAATTTAATGTATTTATATCGTTTTAATAAATCGAAATACGGTCTTCGATAATAAATTCCATAACACATAAAATTATAGCAAACATGCTGATATAATATCTACCACATTTCCCCTTTTAAAACTGTTATAAGAACTACTCAACAAACAATACCCAACTCAACATATACGATACACACCACACACACATAACACAACTCTTTTTAAGTCATAAACCAAGCATTAATGATTTTAACAATGGCTGCTGCGTCTGAAAGGGGAAATATTGCTTAGGTGAATATTTTGTTGTTGTGCCAGCTTAGAAATTATGATAAAAAATCTCTTTGCTTGTAGCTCCGCCTTCAAAACAAGTTTGGAACAGCTTCATTTTTTTTAATTGTTTGTTCATCCTCTTCTTACAAATTTTTTTTTGTGCCAACTGTTTGTCTCATACTTGCTCTGTTGACATTCCTTTTCAACTTTTTGTTAACAGAGCTGAGCATCAGCATCAGCTGCAGCAGCAACGGCAGCATCTGTGCTACGCATAGTAAATACAACTCACACAATTTGGAAGTTAAAGAGATCTTTTGTGTTGCTGCCTCTTCTTCTCGGCTGTTAACACTTTTTGTTTGGCATTTAAACAGTAAATTGACAGCAGTTAAATGATGCTACTTCACACTGTTACACATAGCATTCACGCTTGTGTGTGTGCGCGCACTTTTTGTTAAGTTGTTGTTTTGCCGTTTATGCATACTTTTTGTTGTTGTATTGGTAATTCGTTTGTATGTGTGTTGTTGGTGTCAGTTAAGTAAAATGGCTTTATTATTTGCTTTTAATTTCTGTCTACAAATTTACTTGAAATGAGAAATCAGTTTTTTTTCTTTTTAATTAAAAACACATGTTGCTCTTAACTTCATTATATTTTTTTTATTTTTTATTTAATTTTTACGTTTCTCAATGTTAATGACATTTAGTATGAAGGGAAAATAATTCTTAAAAAAGAGCGTCTTTGTTGTTGTCATTTTTTACCATTGAAAATATTTGAGAGTGAGTTACCTAATGGAGTTTAATTTCTTATTATTCATATTCGTATTTATTATCATTATTTTTTCTTTTTACAACACTAGCCTCTGTTGTTTTAAGCATCAAGCATACATACAGTGCAATGGAGTTATTATGGCCATTAGAAAAATATGGTCTGTTGTTATTGTTGTGTAATAACGATTGTGTATGCGTATATGCGCAAGTACTTAAGTAAGTAAATATACAGTTGCTTAAAGTTAACTTTTTCTCAAAATTCAGTTAAGTTCTCAAATTAATTAAATTTTTTTTCAACTTTTCGCCAGTTTAATTTATTGTATTCATTTTCAAAGGCAGAAATTGTTATAGCTAATTAAAATGAGACGAGGAATGAGACATTTACGTAACATATACGTAAAAGGTAAAGATAGTTCCAGCTTTAAACAAGTTACGCTGAATTTTGTTCAAGATAAATTGACCATAGTTAATCTGATAATTTCATTTGTTGTATATATATATACGAGGGCGGTTTGATAAGTCAGTGAATTTTTGAATTTCCCGCAGTTACTCCGAATGCAACCGTGCTGCCGTCAGCTGTAATCTACCAGTGGTTAACTTTCTAATTTTGAGCAAGCTACGATGTTCAGTTGGT